TTGAACATGTACAGCTTCTCTATTGGGTTTTAGCACTGAAGTTCCAACTTCAAAAGGGGATAACTCCTTCATTTCTAATCCAAATGGGGTGATTATTGAGCCTAAATTCATGGATTTTGAGTAAGCTTTCCAATGGTACCAATTTCATTCTCAAATTACAAACAAAGTGGGAGTTATTCATGTTTTAGTGTGGTAGTGTCAATTTTCGCTTAAGCCGGGAAAAGGGCATTTTGTGGGATTCTTGTCCAGAATTCTTAGAACCTCTTAGAAAGTTGTGAAATGATTAGATTATGTTATATTCACCTTGTTTGACTTGTTTAGAGTCAATTTTCTCCTTTTAATTGTGAATTAACCATTTTGCCCTTCATTAACGGATTTTACCCGTTTTAACTTTAGTTTCCTCTTTCGCTCTCCTTAACTTCTGTGACCTCATGAAATGTCACATTAATGCCCTAGAAATGGTTTATATCTCAAAGAACTATGGTTTCATCCTTTCCTTTCGCATTTCAGATCCGTTATCGGGTCAACTTTCGGATCATCACTGACACACCGGGTTGAAAAACATGGGTCACAACAAGTGGTATCAGAGCTCCTAGGTTTAAATACCTTTGGACAATGGGTTTTGGGTGAATATCATGCTTTTGTTGATCTACTTTGATGTATTCACATGCTTTTGATAACATGTTTTGGCTTCATAACATGTTTATGTGTTTCGCTATAACACGCTTAGTAGTATGACATGTCTTTAGGCTTATATGCTTATATGTTTGAAAGCATCGTTGTTTAACATGTATGCATACTTGCTTAAGTGCTAAACTATTTACACGGCTTTCTTTGATTACTTTAGCATGACTGTATGTTGCATACTTGTCTTGCTTCATGTTTCGTGCATTCATAGTGTGAGCTGCACTCGGTTATAATAACTTGTGTTATTGTTGACCTCTTTCCTTATGTTCATTTAGCACCATGGTTGTCACATGTGGAGAGTCCTCACATCAGGTAACTGAGGAGCAGGTGGCTGACATCGAGTTCACGAGGGGTCCAAGGAGGCCTAGGATTCCAGTTCGTGGCGTGGATGCTAATCCGCCACGGGTAACGACTTATGAAGAGTGAGTTGCTCAGGGAATTAATCAGGAGATCACTGAATCCTTACAGGAGTTGATACGCAGGGATACAGCTTCCTGCACCGGTACCGGCACCGATAGTCAATGAGGCACTAGAGTACTTTATGCGACTACAGAGGGTCAAGATTAATGCATTTGCAAGAAGTTCAGATCCGCTAGTCTCAGAAGCTTGGTTGGACCTTATGGTTTGCAAGTTGGACAGTATGGTGGTACCTACAGATAGGTTGAGGATTTCTTTGACAACCTCTATGTTCATGGGAGATGCAGATATTTGGTGGAGGTCTATGACCAATGTCCATAATGTTAAGCTGATGACTTGGAACGAGTTCAGCGATTTGTTCTTCGAGCGCTTCTTTCCTAAGGCTATGAGGTGGGAGATGAGGACACAGTTCACAGGTCTCTATCAGGGCACTATGAGTGTCATTGAGTATGAGACACAATTTACTTCTCGTTATGCCGAGGATATGGTAGCAACAGACAAGGCCAGGGCAATGAAGTTTCAGGATGGGCAACATCTTGACATCAGGCCATGGGTCTCAATTCTTGATTTGAGGACTTACAGAGAAGTGGTCTAGAGGATTATGCTAGCTGAGAGAGAGGAACGGGATCAGTTACGGATCAGGGGTTCACACAAGCAGCCTCGCAGAGATAATCCATCACCTTCCGGGAGTTAGTGGAAGAAGGCCAGGGCAGGGAACAATACTCATTCACAGGGGGCATCGCAGCAGAATCGTTCTGTATCTCCGAGATCAGCCCAGGGAGTGGTTTGTTACCATTGTCAACAACTGGGGCACATCAAGCCTCGCTGCCCATAGCTTCGGGCATAGGCCAGTCAGACTTCAGTTTCTACAAAAACAGGGCAGGGAGCTTGCTTCTATTACAAGCGACTAGATCATCTCAAGAAAGATTGTCCAAGGTTGTTGAATAAGTCACGTAGTGGCACAGATTCACAGATGGTACCGGCACAGTCTGTAGTGGTTCAGTCTAGTTTCAAAGTTCCTTAGGCACCATAGCCAGTGGCACCAGTTGATACTTATCCAACCAGGGGTTCTACACCTACTGTTTCTTCACATCAGTCAGGCTATCAGGGTAGTTTGCAGTAGGAGTCAGGGACGAGCCTATGCTCTTCCACAGGTGGATGCTTCCGCAGGCACCTCTTTAGTTCAAGGTATCTTTCTACTTTTCATTTCTTGGACACGAGTTCTTGTTGACACAGGTGCATCACATTCCTTCATTTCTGCATCATTTGCACATTCATTGGGTCTGAAGGTCACACTTTAGAACTGTCTTCTTTGTGTTGACACACCAATTGGGGGTTCAGTGTCTTTGGATCGTGTTTGTCGGGGTTGTGCTATTGAGATAGCTGGGCGGACCTTAGAGTTCGATTTCGATGTTCTCGATATGACGGGCTTTGATATCATTCTCGGGATGGATTGGTTGTCATTCTTTCGGGCTACGATTGATTACTTCCGTGGGAGGGTATCCGTTTGCACTCCCAAAGGAGATTGTTTCCATTTTGTGGGGAATCGGAGCGATTCCCACCCGTTGATGGTTTACAGTATTGGTGACTGGAGTCGCCACAGATCCTACTTGGCTAGTTTGCTAGTTGACGAGAATAGCAGTCTGGGCCATGTTCTTCCGGCAGTTGTTGAGGAGTTTGTTGATGTCTTTCCAGAGGAACTGATAGAGTTACCTCCTTTGAGAGAAGTTATTTTTGCCATTAATGTCATTCTTGGTACAGTGCCCATCTCTATAACACCGTATCGTATGGCACCGGTAGAGCTTGATGAGCTGAAGGGTCAGTTGGATGATTTGAAAGCTAAGGGCTTTATTCGTCCTACTGCTTCACCATGGGAAGCACCGGTTCTTTTTGCCAAGAAGAAGGTTGGGTCTTTGAGACTTTGCATCGATTATTGCAAGTTGAATCACGCTACGATCAAGAACAGGTATAATTTGCCTAGGATTGATAACTTGTTTGATCAGTTGAAAGGAGCGACATGTTTTTCGAAGATTGATTTGAGATCAGGTTTGTGGAGGGAAAAAAATCACAACAATCACAAAACAACACGTGGCGACAAAAGCCAGCCCACAAAAGGCTAAAAGAAACTAGAAGCCCATAATGAAACATAAGCCTAACGAAGGAAGGCCTACTTAAAACAGAAGCAGAATGAACATGCCCAATTCTAACAAGGCCCAAACTCCATAACTCCCACAATAATGTCAAATGCATGATCTGTAGGCATAAATTACCCACGTATGGGAATAAAAGCCAAGAAACGGGTCTATGTAAAAAAACACTTATAAATAGAGCCTGAACAAAGGTAAAAGGGAGAAAAAAACTCTGAATATTATTACTATCTCAAATATTTACTTGCTCCATTCTTAACTTCTTCTGTGTGCTTTCCATAGTCGATCCCTTTAGGTGTTCGGGTGTAAAAAATTGCACCCACACTTTGGCGCCGTCTGTGGGAACATCGATACAAAAAGTCCATTCCCTATCCCTTGCATACAACATCACTCCAGAATGGTAACAGAGCCAGACACTGTTCAACCGCAACAACAAGAGACCATGCAAAGATACACGAAGAGATGCAAGCACAACTGGACGTCCTGCGACAAGCAAATGAAGCCAGCACTGAGCAAATCAATATGCTAAGGCAGGCTCAAAAAACCAGCATGGCACAAATTAGCACTCTACACAGAGAAAATGAAAGACTCCAAGGCAACCCTCCGCAGAATGAACAGCAGAATGACCCTCAGCCCGAACGTTAGAACGAAGATCCCGCCATAGAGCTAGGTGATGATAATCCACCCCATCAACAGAAGGCTCCATGCCAACAGCCCAATGGAACGCTAGAGGACATCCACGATGCCGCAAGTCAGTCACGCACCTTGGGGAACTCTAATACTGGGGGGCCTCGAATCACCAAAGCCCATCAATTAGATGACGCGGATTCAGGTAGAAAAGAAGTGTGGACCCCAGTAGCTGGTCAGCTGTTTTCGGGGAACGACTTTATCACCAGGCTTCGGAAAAAAATGGATGAACGAATCAAAGGGCTGAAGGCCCAAACGCCCGAAGACATGGCGAGAGAATTTACTGCATCAATAGTAAAAACCCCTTTTACATATGAGATAGAACGGGTCACAAGATCCAAGAAATTCACGATGCCCAAGTTCATCAAATTCAATGGGACTGGAGATCCCTTCCAATACCTCAACCACTATACTCAGGAAATGACACTAGAGGCTCACAATGATCTATTCATGTGTAAAATATTTCCATCCATCCTAATTGGGGTGGCCCTAGAGTGGTTCAAGAATCGCCCGTGCAAATCGATCCCAAACTTCGAATCACTATGCGTTGCGCTCTTAGCCTATCATTGTGGAAATAAAAAATAGAAGAAAACTATTGCCAGTATCTTTACTATTCAGCAGATGAAGGGAGAAGGCCTGCAAAGCTTCCTCACCTAATTCAACATGGAGTCTTCGGGCATACCAGATTGCAATCAAGACATAGCCATAAAAGCGTTCAAGATAGCCATGGTGCAGGGCTCACGTTTTCATTCTTCTCTGGTGAAGAAGACCCTAACTAACATGTCGTAGCTGAATTCACAGGCACAAAACTACATCAGACTTGAAGAAAATGAAGTAACTAGGTAGTAGAAAGCGACACTGGTTACAGTAGAGAATCGATCGAATGAGCGATCGAGCACTCGGCGGGCCCATCGGGAACCCCTGACTATTGAGGGATGAGCCCCTGAAAAGAAATCCCGAACAACCGAAAGGGTCAGGCAGTTCAAAGTAACACTAGCCAGACTGTACCAAAAGACCAAGGCAAGAAACATCTTCTAGATCCCACCACCAATCATACAGCCAATGGAGCAAAGAGACCAGAATAAACACTGTGCATTCCACAGTGATTTCGGCCACTTGACCAATGATTGTAGGAACTTGAGAAGACAGGTGGAAGCGTTAATAGCCAAGGGCGAGTTAACTGAATACTTGATTACCCCAGGGCAGCAAAGGCAACAAGATCGAGCCCGGGCAATTCCAAAAGCCGTGGTAGAGAGCCATCCTGTTCGGGTAATTAACACAATTCATGGCCGTCTGGAAGAAGACGAACAATCGGGAAATTCCTACAGTATCCAGCTCAAACAAGCCCATAAGCTGCGAAGGATTGGGGAAATCAATACCGTCGACTGCAAACCCAATCTAGCACAGGGTTTTTTTTTTCATAAAGGGGATCTCAGAAGGGTGCAACACCTGCACGAAAACCCATTAGTAGTAAGTCTACTAGTGGCCAATTATCTGGTTAGACTAGTACTGATTGACCCAGGCAATAGCGCTAATATCATGACAAAGTGGACGTTCGATCAATTAAAATTAGCTGCAGACCAGATTCGTCCCACAAAAAGTCCTTTGGTAGGATTCGATGGAAGAAGAGTGGAGCCCACAAGTTTGATCACGCTATCAATCACTGCTGCTAAAAGATCTCTGAAAGAGAACTTCGTGATTGTGGATATTCACCTGACCTACAATTTATTAATGGGTTGAGGATGGATCCATTGCATGGAAGGAGTCCCATCAACCCTGCACCAAGTCATGAGATGCATAAGCCCGAATGGTCAAGAGGTCATCGATATCTGGGGGGACCAGGTAACAGCAAAGGAGTGCTACCACACGATAGTTTATCCTTTCGAAAAAGACAAGAAATTGCTAAAATAGCAATTACCGAGATCTTCCCCTCCAAAAGAGACGGAGGAACCAGAAGAAGAGCATCTTACTGTAGAACCCCTAGAATCCATGTAGATAACCGCAGGGGATGAGTGCAAGCTGACCTACATAGGGACTCTCTAGTCAGTTCAGGAGAAGGAGGAACTGGCAGAAATCCTAAGGAAGAACGCAGACATCTTCGCTTGAAATCACTGGGACATGCCAGGAATTGACCCACGGATGGCTTGTCACAGCCTGAACGTGGACCCCAGCCACTATCCGGTGAAACAAAAGCAAAGAAGGTTTGCCCCCGAAAGGAATAAAATCATTGCTGAAGAAGTCAATCGACTTTTAGAAGCAGGGTTCATCAGCGAAGTCCAGTATCCTCAACGGTTTTCAAACGTGGTGGTTGTCTAGAAAAAGAATGGTAAATGGCGAGTATGCATTGACTTCACCAAACTGAACAGAGCATGCCCAAAAGATAGCTTTCCACTCCCCAAGATCGATCAGATGGTAGACGCTACGATCGGATATGAAAAACTGACTTTCCTTGATGCTTACTTGGGCTACAACCAAATCCTGATGAACCCTTCGAACGAGGAAAAAACTTCTTTCATCACCGAACGGGGGACCTATTGCTACAAGGTAATGCCCTCTAGGTTAAAAAATACAGGAGCAACTTATCAAAGGCTGATCAACAAAATGTTAGAAGAGAACATCGGCCGAATGGTCGAAGCTTACATAGATGATATGGTGATGAAAAGCAAAGTTAAGAAAGATCATTGGCAACACTTGTAGGATATGTTTGATACTCTCAGGAAACATAGAATGATGTTAAACCCAGTAAAATGTTCGTCTGAAGTGTCCTCGGGATAGTTCCTCCATCACCTAGTGAGCAAAAGGGGAATAGAGGCAAGTCCCACTAAGTTGGCAAAATTGCTACAGAGTTAAGAGCCCCAAACCGTGAGAGAAGTCCAAATCCTCACTAGGAGAGTAGCGGCTCTTAGCCGCTTTATATCCAGACTATCAAACAAGTGCAAACCGTTCTTCGACTCATTCAAAGCTAAAAAAGGAGATATCTGGGGCGCAGAGCAGAGAGAAGCTCTCGTGAAACTCAAAGAATACATGATAAGTCCCCCAATTCTGTCTGCTCCAGAACCCGAAGAGCTGTTGTACCTCTACTTAGCAGTATCTCAGTCAACAACCAGCTCAGCCTTAGTAAGAGAAGTGGGAAAGAAGCAACACCCAGTGTTTTATTCCAAGAAGGCCATGACCGACGCAGAAAGCCAGTACTCAATGGCAAAAAAAATTATCCTTGCTTTAATTCAAGTTAAAAGGAAACTCCGACACTATTTTGAGGCGCATTGGATAGTAGTTCCCATAATACATCCTATCAAAGCAATTCTCAGTAAACTACACATCTCAGGTCGGATCACCAAATGGGCAATTGAATTAAGCTCTTTCGACATCTGGTATGAATCGCGCACTGCCAAAAAGGGGCAAGTGGTTGCGCATTTTCTCTTAAACATTGACCCAGGGGAAGAACATCAAACCACGGAAGAGCCTTGCTTGGAATTATACGTCGATGGTTCTTCGAGTCAAAACGGAGCCGGAGCAGGAGTAGAGATAAGACCACCTGAGGGGACCAAAATCCAACAGTCAGTCCGACTAGAGTTCTCAGTCACAAACAATGAAGCTGAATATGAGGCACTATTGGCAGGGCTCAGATTGGCCAAGGAACTCCAAGTAAAGCACCTCAAAGCCTATAGCGATTCGCAGCTCATCACAAGGTAGGTGACGGGAGAGTACACTACCAGAGAGGGCAGAATGAATGCATACCGAGAAAAAGTTGAAAAAATGTCAAAGTACTTTGATACAGTCAAATTTCAGCAGATCCCTAGGGAAGAAAACCCGATAGCTGATCGTTTAGCGAATGCAGCATCCCTAGCGGACGAGTCACTCACCAGAGTCGTCCCCATTGATGTCCTACAAACACCGAGCATCACAAGGGGAGTGCAGGTGTTGGTCATCCCATAGGAACCAAGCTGGATAGATCCAATATTAGCTTACCTTGAGAGAGGAGAACTCCCCAATTCTAAGAAAGTGGCCCGGCAGCTAAGGAAGAAAGCTGCCAAATATTCTGTGGTAGGAGGACAGCTCTTCAGACGATCACATTCCGAACCCTACCTCAAGTGTCTGACCCCAAAGGAGTCCCGAGAAGTTCTAAAACAGATACATGAAAGGGAGTGCGGCAATCATTCTAGGGGTAGGTCGTTGGCTCATAAAGCTCTCACTCAAGGTTATTTCTGGCCCTACATGGCAAGGGAAGAAAAAGAATACTCTCGCAGATGCTACAAATTTCAAAGGTATTCCCCCCTCATCCATCTACCCCAGGAAGAAATACACACCATGAGCAGCCCATAGCCGTTCGCACAATGGGGAATGGACGTGGTAGGACCCCTACCAATGGCGGCATCACAGAAAAGGTACGCCTTATTAGCCACTGATTATTTCACTAAATGGGTAAAAGCAGAGGCATATGCGAGTGTGACTAATGTCCAAGCTAAGTGAAAAAATTCGTTTGGAACAACCTGATATGCAGATTCGGAATCCCAAAATCCATCACCATGGACAACGGGCTGAATCTAGGTAATCAATACACTCAACATTTCTTCGACAAGTACGGTATCAACCAGAAAGTGTCAGCTACATACCACCCCCAAGGCAATGGGCAAGCGGAGATAACCAACAGGACGATGTTTGCCTACATAAAAAAGAAGCTTGAAGATAAAAAAAAAAAAAAGGGAAGTGGTTAGAAGAATTGCCAAATGTCTTATAGGCATACAGAACCACCCCAAGACGTCCCACTAATGAAAGCCCTTTCTCTCTAGCTTACGGCACCGAAGTCGTAATCCTTACCGAAGTGGTGGCACCTACCATCCAAAGCTTAGCTTAGAACCAAGAGTCAAACAATCAGCTTCTGGAGCACAGTCTAGATCTATTGGAAGAAAAAAGGGAAGCCATAGCCATCTGGCTAGCAGCCTACTAGCAGAAGATAGCAAATACTTAGAACAAAAGGGTCAAAAGGAGAAGCTTCAATCCGGGAGATCTGGTGCTCCTAAAATCAGAAAAGTATGTTAGCAAATTGGAACCTAACTGGGAAGGGCCATACCGAATATTAGATGTGATTGGAAAAGGAGCTTACAGACTTCGACATTTGGATGGCACCGAAATGACCAAGCCGAGGAATACAATGAACCTGAAAAGGTACTTTCAAGAAAGTAAATCGTACAGTGTTTTCCAGTACTCTACTTTTTGAATAAATAAAACTTCTGACAGCCTTTTTTCAAATGTCCCATATCAAATAAAAACAAAACTTCTGACTATTATTTAAAGTGGAATAACACGAGATCTAAACAATGGAGTGGACCCCCTAATGGTAGGCGACCCATAACGGGACTTACCATCAGGGGTCTCCACTTCACACATTTTATCTTTTATCTTACGACAAATAAGGTCTTATTACCTACAAAAAACGATGTCCCACATCACTCAAAAAGTGGAATCTAACCCTTTTCTTATAAGGATCCACACTTAAGTGCCTCTCAGTGTGTGGGACCCATTGACAATGGGAACCCACTTACGACACTAAAGTGCCTCATTGTCAGAGGTCTCCATACATTCCCCACATATTTTCCCCTTTCTTTAGAAAGTGCGGTCCCACATTGACAAAAAAGGAAAGGAATCCCTTATTATTATAATATAACCTGCCGGGTATACAATCAGCAGGTGAGGGCCCTAAATTAAGAGGCCCACGGATAGTCTCAGCTCATTATCAGAGGGGGTCCATAATGTAGGGTCTTCCCCGCTTTATTTTGGGATAGGTCACTTCTTATTAAATCCCTATCTCACTTTAAACAGAAAATGGGTTTTCTATAAGACAGAAATCGTTTAAATTCTAAACGTCAGCAAAGGAACACCCACACAAAGAAGACCCAATAAAAAAGGGTTCAACACGAGGACTTCCCACTCAAGACGGACTTACGAACGGGCTTGACTGAATAAACCGCTCAAGTCCAAAAAAAGCCGAACGGCCCCACGAGCCGATCGCAAAATAGGCGAAGGCCCCCAAAGCCTAACGCCCGAACAGGCTTGACCGGATAAACCGCTAAAGTCCAAAAAAGCCGAACGGCCCCAAGAGCTGATTGCAAAATAAGCGAAGGCCCCAAGAGCCTAATGCCCTAACTAGTTTTACCTGATAAACCGCTCAAGTCCAAAAAAGCCGAACGGCCCCAAGAGCCAATCGTAAAATAGGCGAAGGCCCTAAGAGCCCAACGCCCGAACAGGCTTGACCGGATAAACCGATCAAGTCTTAAAAAGCCGAATGGCCCCAAGAGCCGATCACAAAATAGGTGAAGGCCCAAAGAGCCTAACGCTCGAACAGGCTTGAACGGATAAACTGCTCAAGTCCAAACAAGCCGAACGGTCCCAAGAGCCGATCGCAAAATAGGCGAAGGCCCCAAGAGCCTAACTTCCGAACGGGCTTGACTGGATAAACCGCTCAAGTCCAAAAAAGCCGAACGGCCCCAAGAGCCGATCGCAAAATAGGCGAAGGCCCAAAAAGCCTAATGCTCGAACGGGCTTAAACGGATAAACCACTCAAGTCCAAAAAAGCCGAACGGCCCCAAAAGCCGATCGCAAAATAGGCAAAGGCCCCAAGAGCCTAACTCCCAAATGGGCTTGATCGGATAAACCGCTCAAGTCCAAAAAAGCCGAATGGCCCCAAGAGCCTAACGCCCGAACAAGCTTAACCGGATAAACTGCTCAAGTCCACAAAAGCC